TTTAAGAAGGGAAATTTATGTTGGAGTTTTGTTTCAAGTCTAATTTCTGTTCTTTCAGCTTAATAAGGGCTTCTTTAAGGCTAGTTGTTATACCTTTTTTCTCCTTTTGATTCTCCATAAGTACCAATATGACAGCTGTTTATTATGAGAGCTCTCAAAATATTTTTTCTTTTTAAATACAGCCAATTTAAAGGATCCATCGTCTGGCCATTGATGAGTAGAATCTTGTATTAATTTCAAATAGTGACTCAAACCAATAAGCATTTTATTATGGCTTAACTAAAGATTCAAGAAGTGTCTTACAAGAGAGTGTATATAGCCCTAACAAGATCCAGAAAGTTCACTCCCAGAGTTAGTCTATGAAAGTAAAAGCCTTTTGTTGCTACAGGTGGTAAGAATGGTATAGTGAAAATGGTGTCTTTGGTTTCCCATAAAAATATAGGGCATCTCCAGTCATAAACCCACTAATTTATGGCACCGGGCAGGTGCTACTGGAATAGGACTTTTCTGCACTAACAAGCAATGAAGATTATGAGGACAAAGGCCCCTTTTGGACTCGGACCCCTTATGACAAACTCCCCTGAGAGCTGGCACAGCATGACAAAGAGAGTGCTGCTTGTGACTTCATGTCTTAGAACACCAGTCTTTTTGACTGGCCACCAGGTACACCCTGGTAAGTGCGCCTTTAAGATGGCAGAGTCCAGAAAGAATATTCTCACTAGAGACAAAGCCAGGCTTTCTGGACATAGAACAAGATGGAAGGAAAAAGGTCCTCCAGTTTTTCATGGAGGACTGACAACAAAGTTTGTCTCAATAGATACCGACCTGGTAAGAGCTGTTAGTTAACTCATTAGCCTGTGAGACTGGCTCTAACAGCAGGCTTATGAAGCTTATGCCTGTGTTCTGCCCTGTGCTTCTTCCTCCTTATGACCAACAACACAATAGACAAAGACAAAGAAAAACGGTGACCATCTCTGAGAGGAAAAGAATCCTCCTGAGTTGCTAATCCAGGGAAATAGCTCCACAAATATTTTCTCTTGCTTATCTAAATTGGAAGAGAGAGAGAGAGAAGAGGGACCCTCACCACTTTCCCTTCTAACAGACTTTGCAGGCAGAGATCCTGGAGGGTGTTGTGATAAGAAATCTTACCTTCCGCTGGCCTTTGTCATATGTGCCATGATATCTTGGCTGCAGCAGCCTCAGGACAGGAAGTAGGGTCCAACCAGCCTCCTGGTTGGCTCACCAACTTTCGGGGGGGGGGGGGGGGGGGAAAATTCCTCCTCTACCCATCGTGAGTTCTTATGGCTGGGCTAATAATGAAATTGACACAAGACTGATTAACAGGAGAAAAAGGAACACATTTTAATTCATGTGCATGGAGGTCCCACAGAAATGGACCTAAGAAGTGGCAAAGCAGGCAGCTTTTATATTTTTTAGATAAAGAAACAATAAATTCTCGAGGAATTGACAGGACAAAGAAACAGATTTTAGGTGCCCAATTAGTAAAGAATCTACATAGAGTCTGGACTTGGGGTATTACATTAAAGAAGTAACAAGGTTTGTTTATATAGACTTCTAGGCCTGAATTTCCAATCTTTGGTGAGAAGTATGTCCTTTTACCTTCACATTGCAGGGAGTGCACCTTTCACATGAGAGATGTATTCTTTCAGGGAGACAGAAGGGAGGGTCAGAGTGTCCCTCTTGCGTTGGTCATTTCTTAAGTAACTTTAATTCAAAATAATCAATATGCCATTGAGGCGCATTTCGGGGTGGCCTGCTGTGGGCCAACAAACTTTAAGAAGTTTAGTAAATATAACAATTTGCCTCCTCCGTAAGTCAAAGAACATGTGTGACCTCTAGGAGCTGGGAACAGCCCTCAGCTGACAGCCAGCATGAAAACACTAACCACTAAGAACTGAATTCTGCCAACAACCTGAACAATAAGCAAGGAAATGGATTCTGCCTTAGAGCCTCCAAAGAAATGCAGCCTGCCACCACCTAGATTTTACCTCCATGAGATCTTGTTAGATTTCTGACATATAGAACTATAAGATACTAAATATATATTATTTTAAGCCACTAAATTTGTGGTAATTTGTTACAGCAGCAATAGAAAAGTAATACAGCAAGGTATGTTTTGTCTTTACTTCATTTAAATCAAAGTTTATCCAATACTGAATCCTTATTCTGTTGGGCTGGCAGGGTATTCAGTCCCAGACATTACTGAGGCCCTTTCCCATACCGGTGACACACAAGGTTCCAAGGATCTTACCATGAGCCAAAATATCAGGGAGGCTCCCTTGGACCTTCTGTTATCACTGTTATCATTTGCTACCAATGAGATGCCATAGTCCCTGCCTTCTTGGTCCCATGTAGTCTGGTGGCAGCAGCAGGATCTTCACAAGGGGGGGAACCTGGGATCTAGGGTTCATCTCCTCTAGGCATCCAGGAAGTCATCCCCTCATTCCCCCCATCTGGATGTTCCATCATTACCTGGGAGCACTGGGGGGTTAGGAGTGGGGTTTTGGTTACCCTTTGTCCCTTTCTCAGTTAGGGGAAATCTTCTAACAGTCTAACAGTTTTTGCTTTTATCCCAAGGACACATCCATCTCACCCCTAACATACATGTGCACAGACATCAGGCCTGATACTGAGGTCATCTCTAATCTGTTTTTACCTCTCAAACTCCCTTGAAGCAAAGAATCATAATGGTCTGGTTACTAGGAGTTGGGAGATAAATAAAATATAAATGAACATCTCAGTAGATTATTTTGCAATACTGATGCATTGGTAAGTTAGTTGTATCCCTTAAAGGAATTTTTGCTTGCCTTCCTAGTGTCTTGGTATTTCTCAGAGGTTTGGTCCCTGATGGTCTTTATTTTGATACCAGGGTCTGTCCCAGGCTGGTAACACAAAGTAGCAGCTCGCTGGATGGGTGATACATTTCCTCAGGCTTCCCAAGGTCAGGGTTCATAAACTGGGATTCTTGCTTTCCAGAGGGAAAAATGACTCTCTTTTCTCCCAGCTCTGGCTGTATCCCTCCTGCATGGGAGTTTTCTTTGACCCTGGTCAACCTCTGGGAGAATGGACTACAGAGAAGCAAGGATGGAGCAGGGGACCACTTATGTGCTTATGACAATAGTCTAGGCAAGAGATGACAGGGGCTTGAATCAGGGCAGAAGTAGTAGGAGAGATAAATGGTTGGATTTTGAATACTTTGATGGGTAGAGCCAGTGATCTCATGTGGGGTATTAAAAGAGAAAGCCAAATATAAATAGGCTTGTTAGAACTCACCTGCCCTCACATAACTCATAGTTGGGAGTCTGGGATGACCTTAAAGACTTAAGAGAACATTCCACATCTTGAGATTGGAGACAAGAGTTTAAGGGTTGTCACAGGAGAATTTAATTTTGGTAGTTAAAGAACGGGTTCTCCAACCTAAATCTGCAGCCATATTTCTTTATTTTCTGATTCATCTCCTTTTCTATAGTTTCTGGGATTTCATTATCTCCCAACTCCAGTTGGCATTAAGTTCCAGTTTTTTCTCCCATGCTACATCCATCACCAGGCAGGTTTTTCAGCCTTTTTCTATCCTCCCTTAGAGTGCTCCAAAATAAATGACAGGTGCCATTTACAGGGGAAAAGAATGTGGGAAAGTTGAAAACAATAGCTCTGTTTTCTATATACAGGCTTGATTTTTTTTTTTTTTCCGGTACGCGGGCCTCTCACTGTTGTGGCCTCTCCCGTTGCGGAGCACAGGCTCCGGATGTGCAGGCTCAGCGGCCATGGCTCACGTGCCTAGCCGCTCTGCGGCATGTCAGATCTTCCCGGACCTGGGCACGAACCCGTGTCCCCCGCATCAGCAGGCGTACTCTCAACCACTGCGCCACCAGGGAAGCCCTACAGGCTTGATTTTAAGGTGACTAAAAACTTAATAGTGCGATAAACACTTTAAGAAATACAACACTGCTCTATTACTGTTAGTGATAAATCTATTTTGTTTTATATTTAACTTTTCATAGCTCTAGAATCAAGATAATTATGATTGCAAAACTTAGCTCATATGGCTGGTGAAAACTTAATTTTTTTGTTTAAAACGATGAATGTTGGTAGTAGTAACAAAGTATTAAATGAAAAGAATCAGCACCGATATAGGGCAAGAAGTAGTGCCACTTTCATTCTAACGTAAAGTTCATTCTGGCTTTTAAAAAACTGCGGGCTATATTGCTGTTTTCCAGAGCTGTAAAAACTTGGGCAAGGTAGTTATCTTTCTGTGGCTTATTTTTCCCCTCATACATGAAATTTCAGCTCTCTTACTGCCTTTGATGCGGACAATTTAAAAACCGCATTTCAACAAATGTTTAGTGTCTAGCGTAAAATAGTATGCTTGATGACGAGTAGAAATACCAAGTACAAGACACAGGATACAGGTCCCCGCCCTTCTAGAGCAAGAAAGCCGCTGAAGCAGACCAGCCGTGAATTCAACTTTCAGTCGGTACGACCTCTCCTTTGTAGGCCTGAAACAAGTACACAAGCTGATCAAGTACATCAGATGCTGAGACTGCTGTGCGCACTCACCCAGCTAATTCTTTTTTAAAATTTTTATTTAAAAATTTTTTACATTAATTAGCTAATTAATTTTTGGCTGCATTGGGTCTTTGTTACTGCGCGCGGTCACGCAGCTAATTCTTAAACTGCCATCCTAAGGGGGGAAACGCAGAATCCATTATATTTTCACTTTTAAAGGGGTGAAAACAAGGAAAGTACATTCAAGTTTGCCACCTGAGGTGTTTTCAGAGGAGATTCCTTTACTTCTCCCCGAGACGCTTTCCTAACCTCGCCTGCTTCCCGGGACAATCCACACTTTCCTTCCGGGTTCTACGTAAACTGGCCCACAGGGCACAGACCAATGGGTTCATACCTTGTCCGCTGCGGGGCGGGGTCTCCAGCCTGGCTTCGGAGACCCGCCCCCCGTACGTGGCGTGCGTGCGTGGCGCCGGGCGGCGGAGGCTGGTTTCTCCAGCTTGTGGCGCCCCCTGGCGGCAGCGGGGTTTCAATGTGACGGTCGGACCTGAGCGCCTGCCATGGAGCTGCAGAAAGAGGCGCGAACACCCAGGGACCCCGTTGCGCGGCTACCCGGGGCCTCTAGGTCTCAGAAGCCGGACGAGGAGGAGCGGCGGGAGGGCGGCTCAGCCCCGGCGGCGACTGCCTTGGACGCGGAGGCGGACGGGGCTAGTGCGGACGGGCTGTGGGAACTGCCAGTGGAGCCGGCTGAGCGGAGGCCCGAGTGCAGCCGCTGCAGGTGACCGCCGGGCGGGGGCGGGGACTGAGGCCGGCGGCCGACTTGGAGGGGGATGTGTATCGCGGTGGCTGCCGCGCCCTCTGCCGGGGAGGCGGCAGCTGCGGTTCCAGTCCGGGGGAGCGCTGGTTCTGGCATCTCCGCGCTTGGGGCGGCAGGGTCCACTGGTTGACCTTGGAATCACTGTGAAATACCTGTCACAGCTCTTTCGTAAGAAGCCATTTCTCCAGGTTCAGGATTATTTAGCCTTACTTCTTCCTGCAAGACACTGAGCGGGTCATGGGATGAGCAGACAGAAGTTCTGCTGTCAAGAAGCTTGAGCGTCTGGTAGGGGAAGTAAGGTGTAATGACAGTAATATTTGTAAAAACACGTTTATGCTTATGTGACATAGTCATCTCACAGTAAAAAAAAGAAGAAAAAAAATGGATCAGAGGAGAGAGACAATCAAGGTGGCTATTCCAGTAGTTGACATTGTATTCAGAATTATGAATTCACTTAGAAATATTTATTGAGCACCTGCTGTGTGCAGGCACTGTTCTAGGTTCCTAGAAACCTAGGCATGGATAAAACATACGTTATCTCTGCGCTCACTGGGTCACTTATAGTCTAATGGGGAGACAATTTATTAAACTAGCAACACCAACAATTAACATTATTTGACGGGTTGAATTATGCTGGTGTACTTTCAGGATTGTGAGGATTGCTTTCCCTGCTTGTTTGATCTCATGCTATACAGATATATTTACCTCCTGGTTGTTCAGGATCATTTCTCTTCGTTACTACCTCTCTGTTGTCCTTCACAGTTTTAACAATTAGATAGTGTCTCTACTTCCTGACCTGGGAATCACTCTGTAATTTGTCCTCAGATCCTAGGTGCTCTGAAATGGCTCTCACTAAAGTCACCATTAACCTTAATGAGGTGAAATCTAATGGATCCTTTTCTGTTCACTTTTTACTGGACCTCTTGGCAGAATTCTGCAGTTGAAATACTCACTCCTTGAAACACTGTCTCTTTGGTTTCGCTCTGATTTATCTGACTTCTGTATCCTAGTCTTCTTTGCCTGTTCTATTAAAACCCTAAATGTTGGGCTACCTCAAGGTCTTGGTTCTAGGTTCTCTTCTAACCCCATACACTTCTCACAGGTGATCTTACCAGTTTTCATGGCTAAGTTATCACCTCTACTCCAGTCTCTCTACCTCAGACCTTTCTCCTGAGCACCAGATGTACGCATTCATTTAATCATTGAGTACTGAGTGCTTTGCTAATTACTGGTAATATGGTGGAGTCTTTGTCCACACAGAGTGTTCAGTTTGTTATAGATACAGATGATAAACCAGTAAACAAGCAACTAAATATGTAATTACAGATTGGAAAAAGAAAGAACAGCAATGAAAGAAAGAAGTGGGATTCTGCCATAGAAAATAGCAGGATGGTGTCAGGAAAGATTTGTGAAGAGATAGCCTTTATATTGAGACTTGAAAGATAAGAAGGATTCAACCAAGAGAGAAGTGTTCCAAGAAGGGGAACAGAAGGACAGGCTGGTTGATTGTCTTTAGCATTTGCATTTGGAGTCTCTTACCAGGGCCATTTTGACCTTTTCCCAGAGCTGAATTGTAAGACCTCAGAGGAAGGATCTTGAGTGTAGGGATCTTTTTATATTTTCTGAATGTACTATGTGCAGTAGATACTCAGTAGATCTTTGACGAGCGTGAATAATTTGTGTCTAAAAGAGACTGTGTGTTGGAACAGAAGGGGTGTGTGAATACAATTTATTTAAATAAGTTGTCTAAAGTTGTTAGGAGATAGCACTTAAGAATGCTTCGGGGCTTCCCTGGTGGCGCAGTGGTTGAGAATCTGCCTGCCAATTCAGGGGACATGGGTTTGAGCCCCGATTCAGGAAGATCCCACATGCTGCGGAACAACTAAGCCGTGCCCCACAACTACTGAGCCTGTGCTCTAGTGCCCGCGAGCCACAGCTACTGAAGCCCACGCGCCTAGAGCACGTGCTCCGCAACAAGAGAAGCCACCGCAATGAGAAGCCCGTGCACTGCAACGAAGAGTAGCCCCCACTCGCCACAACTAGAGAAAGCCTGCGCACAGCAATGAAGACTCAACACAGCCAAAAAAAAAAAAAAAAAGAGCTTCGAAGGGGTCTTACTAGGAGGTGGAAAGAAAAGTATTTCAAATACAAATCCAGAGCTAAATTATGCTAGCTTTATCATGTAGTTTTTAGTCTACTCAGAACTGCTAGTTATAATAGTTTAAAAATTAGTCTTCTATGGCTAGCAGAGATTTATAATTTTTCTTATCTCCTCCTCTCTGCCCCATTAATAGACTTTATTTTTTAGAGCACTTTTATTTATTTTTTAAAAATTTATTTATTTTATTTATTTATTTTTGGCTGCATTGGGTTTTGTTGCTGTGCCCTACTTTCTCTAGTTGCAGTGTGCAGGCTTCTCACCACGGTGGCTTCTCTTGTTGCGGAGCATGGGCTCTAGGTGCGCGGGTTTCAGTAGTTGTGGCTCGCGGGCTCTAGAGCGCAGGCTCAGTACTTGTGGCGCACGGGCTTAGTTGCTCTGCAGCATGTGGGATCTTCCTGGACCGGGGCTCGAACCCGTGTCCCCTGCATTGGCAGGTGGATTCTGAACCACTGTGCCACTAGGGAAGCCCTAGAGCACTTTTAGATTGACAGCAAAATTGAGAGGAAGGCACAGAGATTTCCCATATACTCTCTGCCCCTACACATACATAGCTTCCCAGTTATCAACATCCCCTACCAGAGTGGTACATTTGTTACAATTGATGGACTCCATTGACACATTATTATCACTTAAAGTCCATGGTTTACATTAGGGTTCACCCTTGGTGTTGTACATATTTTGAGTTTGGACAAATTTGTAATAACATATATCTACTATTATAGTATTGATAGCATACAGAATGTTTTCACTGCCCTAAAAATCCTCTTGGCTCTGCCTTTTCATCCCTCTCTACCCTCTAACCTGATCTACTGTTTAAAAAATAAAAATGACTTGCTGGATTTTAGCTTGTTTTCAGTTTCATTTAGTTAATCCTTTAGAATTATAATTCATTCTGACATTTCTGCACTTTGTTTTTTCTAGTGAAATTTTCTACCTTTTAAAGACTCTTTC